CAAAAAAGTTGGGACACTAAACAAATTGTGAATAAAAACTGAATGCAATGATGTGGAGGTGCCAACATCTAATATTTTATTCAGAATAGAACACAAATCACAGATCAAAAGTTTAAACTGAGAGAATGTATCATTTTAAGGGAAAAATCTGTTGTTTCCAAATTTCATGGCGTCAACAAATCCCAAAAAAGTTGGGACAAGTCCATTTTTACCACTGTGTGGCATCCCCCCTTCTTCTTCCAACACTCAACAGACGTCTGGGGACAGAGGAGACCAGTTTCTCCAGTTTAGAAATAGGAATGCTCTCCCATTCATGTCTAATACAGGCCTATAACTGTTCAATCGTCTTGGGCCTTCTTTGTGGCACCTTCCTCTTTATGATGCGCCAAATGTTCTCTATAGGTGAAAGATCTGGACTGCAGGCTGGCCATTTCAGTACCCGGATCCTTCTCCTACGTAGCCATGATGTTGTGATTGCTGCAGAATGTGGTCTGGCATTATGGTGTTGAAAAATGCAGGGTCTTCCCTGAAAGAGATGACGTCTAGATGGCAGCATATGTTGTTCTAGAACCTGAACATAGTTCTCTGCATTAATGGTGCCTTTCCAGACATGCAAGCTGCCCATGCCACAAGCGCTCATGCAACCCCATACCATCAGTGATGCAGGCTTCTGAACAGAGCGTTGATAACAACTTGGGCTATCCTTGTCCGCTCTGGTCCGGATGACATGGCGTCCCAGTGTTCCATAAAGAACTTCAAATCGTGACTCATCTGACCACAGAACAGTCTTCCATTTTGCCACACTCCATTTTAAATGACCCCTGGCCCAGTGCAAACGTCTGAGCTTGTGGAGCTTGTTTAGAAATGGCTTCCTCTTTGCACTGTAGAGTTTCAGCTGGCAACTGCGGATGGCACGGTGGATTGTGTTCACTGGCAATGCTTTCTGGAAGTATTCCTGAGCCCATTCTGTTATTTCCTTGACAGTGGCATTCCTGTTTGAGGTGCAGTGACGTTTAAGGGTCCGGAGATCACGAGCATCCAGTAGAGTTTTACGGCCTTGACCCTTACGCACAGCGATTGTTCCAGATTCTCTGAATCTTTTGATGATGTTATGCACGGTTGATGATGATAACTTAAAAGTCTTTGCTATTTTACGCTGGGTAACACCATTCTGGTATTGCTGCACTATCTTTCTGTGGTACAATGGTGGAATTGGTGATCCTCTTACCATCTTGGCTTCTGAGAGACACTGACACTCTGAGAAGCTCTTTTTATACCAATCATGTTGTCAATTGACCTAATTAGTGTTAATTGGTCTTCCAGCTGTTCGTTATATGCTCAATTTCCTTTTGCCAGCCACTTATTTCTACTTGTCCCAACTTTTTTGGGATTTGTTGACACTGTGAAATTTTGAATCAACATATTTTTCCTTTAAAATGTTACATTTACTCAGATTAAACTTTTGATCTGTCATCTATGTTATATTACGAATAAAATATTGACATTTGCCATCTCCACATCACTGCATTCAGTTTTTATTCACAATTTGTTTAGTGTCCCAACTTTTTTGGAATCCAGTTTGTATATATATTTAAATATATATAAATAAAAATGTATTAGTGACTGTGAGTTTTGCTAAACTTGTCATAAGAAAATTGATTGAAAATTGTTGCATTGTATACCTGGATTATTGAGCATGGACATTTTTGGTTTTGAACCAGTTTGCCTTGACTGTCGACGAGAATGAGGGCCAGCACCAGAGGAGGGGGCGTGCCAAAGACACCATCTTAGCACCAACATAACTGGTTTGTTCCACTTTAGAGTAAGCTGTTTGGGGTAAGAATCAGTTTTGTTGTGTGTTTCCTTGACTGATGAAGCCTTCTGGATGGAAGGTGAAACATTTCAGCAAAAAAAGAAACTGTCCAGATGACCTGACTGAAAATTGTTGGATTGTATACCTGGATTATTGAGCATGGACTTTTTTGGTTGTCATAAGAATATTTTATTAGTGTTAATGTTAACCCACCAAGAATATTTAAATACACTGAACCATGTGTTCAACTTTAATCGCTGTTGTTAACATTTGACAAGTGTGTTTGTGATTGTGTGCTCTTCACTGACGTCATTGCTGCGACTATTTAAGATGCGACAGGTGCACTTGATTGTGTTGACCGCTGACTGATCTGCGTTACCAAGAATAAAGTGTGAGGTGTCTTTCTCACGATGAAGATAAAGCAGCGAGTACCTTCATTGTCTGACTTCCCTACCCTTAAGATGTCAACGCCAACAGGTGTACTCCTGAGATTTACAGAGGAAAAAAATCGTGAGAATGAGTTTAGTATTCAGCTCTGACTGATTCAACCACAGATACTTCAATGCTCCTGTCAAACTGGTTACACTGAGTGGAGCGGGCGACCGTTCCAAGATGGCGGAACTATAGCGGTCAATGTGAGAGCTAGTTTTTATATCTATGCCGTCAAAACGTTTTTTTTTGGGTTTTTTTTAAGAAAACATTTTTTAGCAAAAACAAGTACAAACAAATATGGCAATTCACAGTAGTAACTGTAAAAAGGGCATAGCAGAGGCAGACTTGTATTTGAAAAAAAAAAAGAACAAACTACAACAAGGGGTCTATATTTTAGGATTAACATGCAACCTACGTTGAAACTGTCACTGCATCTGATGACACAAAGCTGGTGCTTTCATCCATAAAAAACTGGAGATAATGGTTTTCACTTTCAAATACTTGTGATTGAAAGATTAATACTGAAGAACAAGAGATTGTACCTATCACCATAAAAAGGCTATTTATTATGCCTACACATAAACCAACAAGCTCATGTATAAAAACAAGGAACTTGAAGCCAACCTTGTAGTGATGACTTGTTAAAATCGTTTAATTTTTATTCAGCCTTCATACATTTTTCCCACGCTTACAGCAGTACTGTAGTCACACTTTCATTGTAGTTTTGTAACTGCAGCTCATTCTAAACAGACATTCACACACAACTATTGTGATCAGCTAAAATAATGGAACAACACGTGCACACACGGTGTAGTCTGTTAATTTTCAGTAAAACATGAAGCTAGCGTTACCAGTGCTGGTCCAGTGGGTAACATGAGGTATGAGGGCAGAACACAGCCAGTGATGCAGCTCTTAAAGAGCACTTTGGTGGAAAACACACACCAGGGAGCTGTAGGTGAATCACTTTGACCTGGGATGCCTTGGCTTGTGGTGAGCTGAGGCCAGCAGGACCTCGATACGATGAAGACGTGCGCAGGTTTCAGTGTTCAGTGAACTTGATAGTTTAGTTGATCACAGCAGAAGAGCACATCCTGTTGATCCCACATGCATTGGACCCCCTGTATAAGTAGTAGTAACCCTGTAGGAAAAGGAACAAACAGTAACAAACATCTACCGGTAACTTCATTTTTTATTATTCCCTTCCTGTAAAAAGAAATTCCACTTTATGACAAAACAAGTTCATTTTGCTCAGCCTGACTCAGCACAGCAGAAAGGTTCACAGTATCCTGAAGTCATCACTTCACTCAGTACACTGCCATTTCATCTAAACTGCTGTGTTCTTCTTACCTGCTCTCCATAGTCGTCCCCCCAGCTGTTCTTGATGGCCCAGAACGGGACACCGTTTCCTGAAACACAACAACATCAATGAGTGACTCATTCAACCTTTACTTCTACAGGTTAGTCTCATTGAGCCTCAGGACTCGTGTACAGGACAGACCTGGTTTTAACAAAGTCTGACCTGCAGATTCTGATTTTGTTTTACAAGCGGCACAGTCGGGTGTTATCGGGTCACAACGCACCTTCAATTTTCCATCTTATTTTATTGAAAAACACGCCCTTGAACAAGATCTTAGAAACAACACTAACTTGTTTTAACTGGCCATGAGGAAGTGCTCTGAAATATACATGAAGTTTAGACAATTGTTGTTAAAAATAAATCGGTAAAATCGGTTTCTCGTGCAAGTATCGGACGATTTCTGATGTCCCAAAATTAAGAAAATCGATGCACCCGTAGTGGAAATTGAGAATAACAAGTGCAAATTAAAAAAACAGCTAGGTTGTAAGGCGATGTGGAAAGCTAAAAACAAGGACAGGTCATGTTTGGTTTTCCCATGAGCTTAGCAGATGATCCATGCTACATGCTGCTCAATAATCCAGGTTTAAGATCCAGCACAGCTCAGTCAGGCCCCCTGGATGGTTTCTTTTGATTGAAACGTTTCGTCTTTCATCCAAAAGACTTCTTCAGTCCGAGGAGCCACACAAACCCAGTCTTCTACTGTATATACCGTAGCTCCTGCACAGCGGGTCAACCAGTTTCATGGTGCTCAGAAGGTTTCTTGAGCCCACCCTCTCCCCACAGACCCGTTTGAGGCAGCCATGGTCAAAGTGGTTCAAAGCATCAAAGTTCATGCTCAGTAATCCAGGTGGAAAAATCCAACAAGGATTGGTGTGATTTATCAGACTGAGTTTGTTGTGGCTCCTCGGACTGAAGAAGTCTTTTGGATGAAAGACGAATTCAAAAAACGTTCAATACAAAAACAAGTGGACTTTACTTTTGTTTTGTACTGAACGTTTCTTGAATCGTGTCCTGGATGACTGAGAATCTTCACCAGCACATGAAAGACGAAACATTTCAACAAGAAGAACCCGTCCACAGGACCTGACTGGACTTTCATGGACAAATGATCCTTAAACAAGAAGTCTTTATGTGATGAAACAAGACAATAAATTATCACATGTTCTCAGGGGCAAACTGTAACATTTTAGTCAAATGCACAACAGGAACATGTTTGGAAGTACGTGAGTGGAGAATCAGCAGGATGAGTCACGCTGCAGCGTGCTGCACCCATAAAGTCACATTTTAAATATTTACTTCTTTGTTTAAGATTTATTTTACCTGCGAAATCCCACAGAGATAACGGAGCTCTTTATCAACGGAGGCCTGGGACTCGAGGCAATGGATGTTTTTGGATTGTGGAGGAAACCAGAGTACCATAAAGTCCACACAGGAAGACCCAGGTCCAGGTCCAACTCTGAACCTCCTCGCTGTCAGGCAGCAGAGCTGACCACAAAACCATCATGATGCCTAAAATATTAGCTTTTGTTTCTCACCGCATCAGTCTCTTAAGGGTTGGGTTACAAGAAAATACAGATTTTTGTCCTTGGCTTCATAACAACAAGATTTGTAGTCAAATGGTAGATGGACTGTACTTATACAGCTCCTTTCTATCTGATCAAGACACTCAAAGCTCTTTACAACAATCTGTGCCTCATTCACACAGCTCTATACTAGATCTCTACAAAGATAATGGAACACATCATTCTAAAGAAACTAATCAGTGTTTTATCACATTCATACACTGATGGGACACACATCAGAGGCAGTGAGGGGTTCAGTGTCTTGCCCAGGGACACTTCAGCATGTGACTGCTGGTGGATTCGAACCCACAACTCTTGTATTGGAGGACAACTGCTCTAACCACTCAGCCACAGCCGCCGCACATCTATATATCTATGGTCATTTCTCAAAATCAAATCTTTTCCATCCATTTTCAGGGCCTTGCTCAAGGGCTCAGAGTGGTGCATGCATGGTGGATGCAGGTGTGGGTGCTTCACCTGTCCCACCCGCATTTGATGTTGTCGGTCCAGGGATTTGAACAGACGACCTTGAGAGGCTCACCTTCTCCAACCTCTGCACCATTTCTCCCCCAAACCAAAACAACGTTGCACTTTAATACGTTTTCCATCCGTTGCTCCAGTTTTTTACTTTAAATTACAATTGTGTGCTGAAATTATTTCTACGTGAGTGGAACTTGTAAACCATACCAAAAAGAAAAATAAATAGATAGAGAGAATTCTGAGCGTCTTGCGCTTGTTCCTTCTTTGTATTTTGACATGTCCTTTATGTGGACGTTCTCGCCACCTAGTGGTATGAAAGGGGTATTCCAGCCTTCTTGTTAGAATAACATACACTTTGTAGATCAGTTTCATGAACAAATAAAAATGATCAGTTAAACAGTATCTGGAGCAGTTCAGAAAGAGCACGTGTTAATTAAAGAGGGGTAAAACACTCACGTTCACCGTAGCCCACCAGCAGCACAGCGTGGTCAATCATCCAGGGGTTGCAGAAGATCTTCCATGGATGACTCACGCCCTTTTTGTAGAACTACAGACATGAAAGAGACAACTGAACCAAATATTCTAGTGCTGTGTGGCATGAATTACACTCTGTAAACAGCAAACAACAGAAAGATAAAATGCATTTAATAGAGAACTGAGTGCATACACATACAGTGGGGAGAACAAGTATTTGATAGACTGTTGATTTTTCAGGTTTTCCCACTTGCAAAGCTTGTAGATGACTGTAATT